CCTCCCCTCCCCCCCTCCTCCTCCTCGTCCTCTTCCTTCCTTATCTTCTTGTCCCACCTCTGCCCAGTTCGTCCTGTTTATCATGAGCCAAACAGCTTTCTGTTCTGTTCTGTCCTTCTGCTGTAATATTTCTGACTTTGGCCTGAAGCCTCTGAGAGTATGAGTTAAACAAATGTGCACTCCCTTTTTTACCTTTGGTATTTTGTCATAGGATGAAACCTAACAGGATAACAATTTCACAGCTTTTTTTTTTTTTTAAACCAAACTTTTCTGGTAGCTAGAAGATACAGATAGGAGTTGCTTCTGTGTGTGAATGTTGTGCTTATAATTCAGGCTCTACAATCACCACTGCATATATTCCCTGGGTGAACTACTGAATTCTCTACCTTACTCTGCATTCTCAGACATCATAGAACCCAACTCAAAGGTCTGGGATTTTTTTGTTTTTGTTTTGTTTTTCCTTTCAGGATTTTGTACTGGCTATATATCTAGCAAGTATTTTTTTTTTCCTGTTCTTGCTCAGGTAGAGACTGTACAAACTAGACATGGTAGAGGCTGAGAATGAATGCAACATTGCCCCTTGTAGTGTGTCAAAGCACACACATGTCATTCATTTTATTGTGTTTTGACAATGTCCCTGAACAGTGTACAAGACCTGATTCTTCTTTGTAGGAAGCCGAACAGTGTACAAGACCTGATTCTTCTTTGTAGGAAGCCGGGACATTTCTTTTGGCTGTGGCAACCATGTGATTCATTTGGGAAGGAAGATGATGACCATCAAGGAGCCACTTGGATTCAATGAAGGCAGTGGCCACTGAGAGGTTGGCTCCATTGTGGAAAGTTGGAGCCATTCAGCCTTGTAGAAAACAGAAGGTTTATGCTTATTTTCCAAGTTCAGAGAAAAAGAAAACCATCTCTTTTCTCCCCTCCCTGTTGTTTTTGGCAAGACTCAGTAAGTCTTCAACTCACAAATAAGGCTGGGCCAGGTCTTCAAAGAGCCTCTGTGCTTTGCATACACTAAGGTTTGCAAACCCAGCTCCAGCTCTGTTGGAGGTGGAGCTTGTGGAGAGGGTTGGAGGGCAGGCCCAGATGGGATTTTCTCATCTACTGCTCCAATTCACATACTGCAAGGTAATAGCTTTGATGAGATCTGGCTTTCTGGGAAAAAAAATCTGTTAAAGGTGGCTGACACTTTGAGCAGTTCATGTTTAAATGGGTAGCTTTGGAAGTGACTGTGGGCTGGGCCTGTCTGCTTGCTTTGTAGGGAGAGGATATTTTATGGTTTAATGTCAAGCATGGCTTGAAGAGATCCCTAAATTCAGACAGAATTACTGGGCTGTGTGTGTGTCAAAATGGTTTTTCCATCCTTTACCAGTTGTGATACCAACCCCTCCATTTTGTAGGCACTTTCAGTCTGAAATAGACCTCATTTGGAAAGGAATGAAAGTCTCAAGGCTTTGTTTATTGTGGGGAGAAATGTAGATTTCTTCTTTTCTTTGTGACCACAAGTGACTTCAAACACTCTTATTTGGGTCATTGCTGTCTGGTTGGTATGGAAAGTTGTGGTTTACCACTCAAATCTCAATGGCTTAATAGATCAGGTCTTTATCTTTCACTCTCTCTATAAGTCTACTGTGGATCAGAAAGAGGTCTGCTTGCCATAGGGATTTAGATCCCAGGAGTGATGGAGGCTCCTTCTTTACCTGCTTGTTCTTTCACCACAGGGAGAAGGAACTCAGTGAATATTGTCCTGGCTCCCAGTAATGCTGTCCACGGATGACACCTGCCCCTCCTGCTCATTCTTCCTGAGTCAACACAGCCACTCTTAACTTTGGAATGACTGTAGACATTCTATGTTACAATGAGCCTGGAAGAAAGAAGAGAAGTGTAAGTGAACTGTGCCATGATTCCCCCCTTATCCACTGAGTACCACTAGTCTATAAGGCACTCTCTTCATTATCATAACGAGTGCTGTACATCTGAACTGCAACTCCCCCAGACAGTTCTGACGTTGCTAGAAGAGTGTTGTCACATGGCTCTTCATGACTTCCCATGAACTGAACTCCTCTATCCTTGGGAGCTTACAGTGTAGCATCTTCAAGGACTCCTGGTAATTTGAAATGCTTTCAGTGACAATGATACGATGAAAGTAATAGCTAAGAATAAAAAAGAAATACACATGAAGAAAGATACATTCTTGAAGTACTGGCTTGATTTCTGCTTTGTTTTTCTATTCTTTTAAACATGTCCTTCAAATCATAATCAATAGTAACATTTTTGGGGTTAGAGAGATGACCCAGAAATTAAGAGCACTTACTCTTCCAGAAGATCCAAGCATGGTTCCCAGCACTCATATTGGGTGGCTCACAATTGTCTGTAACTCCAAATCTGTTTTCTGGTCTCCATGGCGTATCTACATTCATGCACAGAGACTCAGATGCAAACACAGAGATAGACATAGACACATAGACACAGCTAGATGTAGAAACAGAGATACATGACACAGACACAGAGACAGACCCAACAAAGATATGGAGATTATAGATAGAGAGACAGAGAGACAGAAATAGACATAGACAGACAGACATAGACACACATACAAGACACATACACACGCAAACACAGACACACAGATTAGCTTCACATCTGATGAATAAGAATTAAGCCAGAGAAAGCATAGAAAGGGGGCTTTCTGAAGCTGAAGTCTCCAGTCTATCTTTTTGGGATTTGTAGGTCATGAGGAGGCTTGCTCCACTAGTGATAAAGTTATGTTGTCACGATTACAAACATCACCATGGTCATTGTGATCATTGCCACACAATCACCATGTCCGGTACCATTACTACCACCCATAGCATTACCACCACCACCACCATTATCACCTTAACACCGTCACCACTGACTTCACACTGTAACCACTACTAGCACCACGATCACCAACACTAACACCTCTAATACCACTACCATTACCAACATCACTATTACTCTCACTGCCAGCACAACTACCACAATTACCATCATCATCATCCACTACCACAACTATTACAACCTTCAGTATCCTTACCACCACCACCACCACCATCACCACCACCACCACCACCACTACCACCACCACCACCGTCACCACCACCACCGTCACCACTACCGTCACCACCACCACTACCACCACCACCACCGTCACCACCACCACCGTCACCACCACCGTCACCACCACCGTCACCACCACCATCACCACCACCACCACCACCACC